CGGTATGTCAATGTCAAACAGATCCTGCAGGAGAAGACTGGGATGATATTGGCGTCCAGTGTACGGACACCAGTCACATTTCCTGCGCCTTTTGCAGCATACAGGATAGACTCATCACTGTAAAGTCCACTACTTCGTGATTTTTATTCGTGTAGAATACATGCAGGCGTATTCAGTGTGCCTCGCAGGACTGCGAGATGCTGCAGAAGACCAGGTTCGACCTTTCTGGACAGCCATTCACCGACAGTGGGCTACATGATGCTGGAGGAACTAGATTCCTTTGCTCCTGGACGCTTCGACGTGTTGTGATATCTGCCAGGTGCGCAGTAACTAGTATTTTCATCGCTATAGCGAGGACGACGCCGATCGGCAAACTCTCGCTCACAGCCATCACCAGCCTCTCAAAACCATCACTTGGCATCCCCCAGAGGTATAGGAGAAAGCCAAAACAGCTCTCAACAAACAAAAGCTAAGGACGATGGAAAGAGAGCATGTCAAAAAGAAGACGAACAGTAGGAAGTTCAAATGGGTTTGAACACTCGTACCACCAACTATACCACTTTCAATAAATCGTGACGCCATTTTGTTTTAACACGCATACGGTCCACTGTTCCTGGTCTTGGTCGAATCGTTTTTATCCCAATCCAAATTGGCAACAGCAGCCATCAAAAAGAAGGCATACATGTACATGTACATGTAGTACCGCAACAGTAAATGAAGGTACATGTACATGTACATGTACATGAATGTATGCAAGAAACACCCAAATTCCTTCAAGGAAGAAGAATTTCAAGAAAATACAGAGAAAAGGAGTGAATGGAGTATACATGTACATGTACATGGACATTATTCATTATGTAAGGCCTTGCTTCATCAAAGTAATCAAACCAGGGTCCACGGTTCGGACCCTCATTTTTCCAGACCCCACATGGTTTTAATTGGTCGCAAGACAGGGGCTAGCTGCTCTGCTAACCAATGCTGCAGTAGTCAGTAGTTGTACTGAGGAGCACTGTTTTCTGCTTTCGACACAGTCGCAGACTGCGTCCTCCGCCTTGTAAACAGGCTCATGACCTGAGAATCAACTTTATTTCTTACCATGGCCTTATGGCCCTAACTTAGTATAGCCCTGGGGCATGTAAATTTGTAATGCTACACCGACCGGACCACATCATCATGGCAAGCTTGTAGATCAGCTCAGAGAAAGCAAAAAATCCAAAAGTCTGCACGCCTGACTCTGATCTGTCTGATAGAGACCGGCGGATTCTGCTTGAAAAGGTGGCAGATTTTGCTCGAAAAGCAGTGAAATTGGCAGAACCATACAAACCTTATGGCGGGCAATTCCTCCAATTCTGCTCCATTTCTTTATCCACATACCACACATGCATGAAACTTACTTACCAGAAAAAAGTGCCAATTTTCTGGCGGCAGAATAGGCCTTGACGGATTATGCTAATATTTTCGTGAAATTATGCTTTTCGCATTGCTGAAAAAATTGCAGAATAATGCTATTTTTATGCTAAAAGTTATCATATTATGCCTCATTATGCTCACATATGCTGCTAATGTATTATGTATATGATGGTTCTGTGCAAAATAGCATGGGAATTTTTTTGTAAAGGGCGTTGTACTGCAGTAGCAGAAGTTCAACGGGGTCAACGCACCGTCCGACCTAGATGTACATGTAGCTACGACCATCACTGATTGTAGTGGACTGGACATGTTATCAAGGGAGTCGTAAACCTACGACTTCCTGGTGCATCTACTGTCTTGTAGAACATGTACAACTGTATGGAATTTGATGCGAACAGGCGGATTATTCCAATTTTATGCGATTCGTATACAATTTGCCTCGACTTATGCGATTATCAGGCAGGCACAGTGGGTTGGTCAAAGACCATGATTGAGATACGAGAGGTACCTGGTTCAAGTCCTGCCTGGGAGCGGTTTTTCCAGCCGTGCTGCTACCCACAGTCAACTGGGAACTTGTGGCCAGGCACAAGGGGTACATGGATGCAGCTAATGGGGTCGTTCTCGGCACTTGTGCCAGTGGTTGTGAGACTTATCCACTCACCCCCACCGTTAGGCGCTGCATCTGCCGCTAGGATTTACCGGGTGGTAGCGGCCGTCGTGAGTTCCCTTCGGGAACGGACACGATAATTTACTTACTTACTTTATGCGATTATTCGATTTTGGTAGGAATTATGCGAAAAATTATGCTAGCATAATCCGTCAAGGCCTAGTCCGACCTAGCTACGACCGTCACTGATTGTAGTGAACTGGACATGTTCTCAAGGGAGTCGTAAACCTACGACTTCCTGGTGCATCTACTTGTACTTGTACTTGTAAAACATGTACAACTGTATGAAATTTGATGCGAACAGTCGGATTATTCCAATTTATGCGATTTGTATGCTATTTTAGGCCTTGGCGGATAATGCTCGAAAAGGTGGCAGATTCTGCTTTTTTTGCACCGAAATTGGCAGAACCATACAAACCTTATGGCGGGCAATTCCTCGAATTCTGCTCCATTTCTTTATCCACATACCAAACATGCATGAAACTTACCAGAAAAAGTACCGAATTCTGCCAATTTTTCTGGCAGCATTATCCGCCAAGGCCTATGCTATTTGCCTCGAATTATGCGATTATTCGATTTTGGTAGGAATTATGCGAAAAATTATGCTAGCATAATCTGTCAAGGCCTACTGCATGAGGTGCAACGCCATGTATTGTACCGGCAAATGACTTTGTGAGTGTAGACACCTTCACACGTAACACCTTTCCTAGCTTTAGCGCTACATTTACCAGACTACATACAGTAATGACATTGCAACATAAAGTCTTTATGTAGCAATGTCATGTAAATGTACATGTGATGTAGCATGCCCAACGTTGCAACTGAGGCTGTTTTATGCTTCGAAGTGCACAAAATCCGTAACGATGATTCTAATGCGCGGATTTTTTTAGAATTCATGGAGAGCCATGGAGACTACCTATGTAGATCTACGCGAAGTGAATATCAAACAGAGGAAGAGGAGTTTCCTGTTAATAAGAAGTGTTATGCCATAGGCTCTGGCCATAGCATGTCTAGCGATACTGAAGTAAACACTAATCCATTGACAAAAATTTGGACCTGCACGAAGGAGCGGCTATAAACGGGTAGAGCTTACTCCAAAATTAATAACTGCCTTTGCCGAGTCCAGCTCAGCAGGCTCGAAAAGAACTAGAATTTCTCATGGACGAAGCACCAAGTCGATTTGAGTGCTCAGCAGCTAGGCCTTGACGGATTATGCTAATATTTTCATGAAATTATGCTTTTCGCATTGCTGAAAAAATTGCAGAATTATGCTATTTTTAGGGTTCCCAGTAAAAAGGGTTGGCCTGTTGGGACTCCCCTAGTAAAATAATAAAATCTACTACTACTACTACTATGCTAAAAAGTTATCATATTATGCCGCATTATGCTCACATATGCTGCTAATAATGTACATGTATATGATGGTTCTGTGCAAAATAACAGGAGATTTTTTTTGTAGAGGGCGTTGTTCTGTAGTACTAGTAGCAAAAGTTCAACGGGGTCAACGCACCGTCCGACCTAGCTACGACCGTCACTAATTGTAGTGGACTGGACATGTTATCAAGGGAGTCGTAAACCTACGACTTCCTGGTGCATCTACTTGTACTTGTACTTGTAGAACATGTACAGCTGTATGGAATTTGATGCGAACAGGCGGATTATTCCAATTTATGCGATTCGTATGCAATTTGCCTCGAATTATGCGATTATTCGATTTTGGTAGGAATTATGCGAAAAATTATGCTAGCATAATCCGTCAAGGCCTACGGCAGAATCCGCCGGACAATACAGTGTACTGAGGCTAGAGTGTCTGAGCTGTCGCACAAAATCATGTACTGTATAAGCAGAAAATTTCGTTGGTCAATAATTTCGTCCGACTCCAAAGAAAGGGAGTTCGTCCGGTTGTAAATTTCGTCCATGGATCATAAGAGCGTATTGAAAAGCTGGACAAATCGACATTAGTCCAACATTTAATTTAGTCCAAAAGCTCCTCGGCCGAAAAAGACGAAATTAAATTCCAGACGAATATTTCTGCTTGTAGAGGAGACGGCTCGATACCGGGACGTTTTGACAGCCAAATTTGTATAGACCCAAACCGATCATCAGCGTTGATTTTTCACTCGAAATATGTTTGTGGAAGGAAACTGGAATGTTGAAGTTTGCTCTGGGGCCAGAGTCGATCGAACTGAGCCACTCCTTTGTGTTGACCCATTGCCTCCAAGTTGCCCAATTTTTCGCTTCAAAAAAGTTCAAATCAGAGGTGGCTCCAAACCGGACACGTTTTAGAGTGCACGTCAAATTCACTCTGGGTCTGGAATTAGGTAATTGCTATCGCTCCACGACGGCCAGTATAGAGTAACAATAAGCCTTGTGTGTGCTTCCATTAGTTTTAATTGGTATGCGGTGCTTTATTGGCGAGAGGCGAGCCGCTGTTTACCTGCGACAAGAAGTTGATTTTTCGAAAGTCGTAAAACTCAAGTCGCAGTGCGAAGCAACACGTCAAAAACTCACCTGCTTGATATGGCGCTTCTGGTCATCGCAGAGCCATGAAATTTTGGCTCGGAGTATAACAAGTAGTAGTCTCACTGTGACATATGTTTTCTAATCAAAATACCAAGAGAGAAAGTGAATATTGAGTCCGTTCCGGTTTGCAACCGGTGTCCTATTTGAAACCGTCCCCTCTACATGACTGTCGACTGTACAGTACAATGCTGGCAATTGAAATCCGACCACCTAGAGATGCGCTCACATTCTAGCGGTCTCTATTAAATCTTTGTACTTCTGAAGTAGTTTTACTATCCGCCCGTGCCGTGTTGGGCCTTTGCGATGTGAGCGCGCACCGCTCAGGGGTCGGATTTCGGTTGCCAGCACTGTAGGCTAGTGTAGGTGTCGAAGGGTAGTGCAGTTTGCAAGTAGAAATTTTTGGCGATAAGTGTTGTGATTCACTAATTGATGCTAAACGATTGTGTCTAGCTAGGTAAGGTAACCGTTTGGGGTACTGGCTGAATCAACGCTGGGTTTGAATCCACTGCTACACGAGCCACCCCGTACGCCCACTTTCACGAGCGTCACCACCTAACCTGCACCGGCGAGCAGTGGTGTGGCTGATCTCGTCCACGGGCGTGCGCCCTCCACGTGTCGTTCAGAACTTCAGGAGCTGGCAATGGCTTCGGTGAGCGCTGGTCTCCAGGTGAGTCCATAATAGCATTCAACGCATACCGCTCTAATGATAACACCGATGATAGAGAGCAGTGAACAAAGATAATAGCAGAATAGTGCGTAATGAACACTAGCACAACAATGGTGCGTAGATCTACGGGGTGCAAAAAGTGAGGAACCAAGCGAAACATGGCATGGACTAAATAATAGAACTGAACTGAGTAAACTACTGAAAAGTGTGAGCGACAATAAAGGCTCAGATGCTCAGCCAAGTAAAAATTTGTAACATGGAAAAATGTGGGCACAAGTTATGCAATCGAGTCAACCAACTAAATTGATAGATTGTGCACGTCTGCCTGTTCAAAATCTGGTTTAGTTGGTCGCCTCGATCGCGTAACTTGACCCACATTTTTCCATGAAAATAAAGGCAGTCTTTGTATTACAAGTGCAGTCATGATTATATCATCTCTAATGGAAAATGGGAACTAGAGAGAAGTCTAAACACGAGAAGAACGAAATTTCACTCAAACTGAACAGTAGAATGAAGCCGCTGAAATCTGCTAACTTGATCGATAGCAGAGTTTTATGATAGTATCGTAGCCGAGAATAGAAATTAGTGACGAACTTGGCCATCCTATTGAAATCAGTCAGGCCGCCACTGCTCTTGCGCATCGTCGCCGTAGTAGCGTTCCATTGATTTTGTATTTTGCTATCAGACCAGCACATTGCACCACCCACGTCCAACAACCTCTTGATATTCCTCTACCCATATACCGTATCTTCTGGAATTGGAGCCGGTTTTGTCTAGTACAGACCGTGATCTCTTCTAAGATTTAACCGCCCGTCTGAAATACGCGCCACATCGTTTCAGGGCATTTGCGGGGATTTTTTTCAAAATCCGGCGAATATTTAGGGCAGGCAAACCCCTAAGCGCCTCGGCCAGTATCCTCAGTGCCGAGAGTGCAGTATGTGTGGCAAAGTAAGTCGAGGCCCGTCGGAACCTGTCTGGTTGGTCAGGTTAACACGTACCAACTGTAGCTACCAACACAAGTCTACTGCTGAGGAGGGCATACGTCCCCGCCATATTACAGTGGTCCCTCTATAATCCGGCACCATTTGTGCCACGAAAATCTGCTGGATTAGGGAGGGTGCTGGATTAACAAATCTGATTTACTGCTGCAATGTACATGAAGAGGACATTTTGGCTACTGAAAATTGTGCTGGTTTATCGAGGGTGCTGGATTATAAAGTGCCGGATTAGAGAGGGACGACTGTATACACAACGTATGAAAGACGGTGGTACGACCTGACCAATTGCAAACTGCTTCCGACGGTGCTGTAGTTGCAGTGGTACATTTCTACATCCATACATCTTCACAACACTCCGAATAGTTCTGCGCTACGCCAATCACTGAAAGAAAAAAGATAAAATCATTGAGAACTCAGGTTGTGAGTCAAGGAAAAAAACTCGAACGTGAAAAATGTGGGTTTTGTGCTTGATAGTGCACATCTGACTGTTCAAAATCTGGTTTGGTTGGTGGACTCGATCACATAATTTGTGCCCACATTTTTCCACGTTACATTATAATCATCGAATTTTCAATTTCAGTGATTGATGTATCCCGGAGAAGGTTTGTAGTGTCGTGAAGATGTATGGATATAGTGATTGGCTACAGTGGAGTCTTCGCACATCGAGAAATGCGGTACATTTCTGGCCAGAGGAATCCGACCTCGTGAATAAAGTTGCGGCACGCTGAAATGAGCAGAGTGGTGTGTGTGTGTGTGTGTGTGTGTGTGTGTGTGTGTGTGCGTGTGTGTGTGTGTGCGTGTGTGTGTGCATGTGTGTGTGTGTGTGCCGTGCATACAGTTATCCCGTATACATTTGTCTTGATTTCCTTGCCCCAGGACGAGCTGGAATTGCTGCGCAGGGAGATCTGCTCGGGAGCTCTGCTACGCTGCCCGGATGGCCTTGACCCCTTACTCCAGTGCAGGCCGCCTCCCAGTAGTGTTCGCATCCTGATTGTCGGCTCCTACGGCACTGGTAAATCAGCATACATAAACTCCGTGTACAAGGCGCTGTATTCGGCACAGCTTATGCCTGCGTACACCCAGGACCCGAGCGCTGAGGGGACGTTCTTCCTGGACGAATACATCGCCAACGACGCCAGCCCCGTTTCGTTCCTGGACATGCGCGGCCAGTACGAGTGGTTCGACGAGACCGAGATCCGCGAGATCAGAAACATCGTGCTCGGCTTCATCCGGCCCGGCACGTGTCTGCTGCGTGGCGTGGAGTTGCAGATGTTGACCGACGAAGAGCTGACAGCCCTGAAAGACGGATCGTCGGTGCTCGGCAAGGCTGACAGGATCGAGCGGCTCAGGGCCGAGGACGTTCCGGTCAGCGATCAAGTTCACGGCGTGATCTTCACGTTTGCAAAGTACGAAACCCCGCTCCGCAGTCCCGAGAACCCGAGATTCCTGGAACTGCTTGATGAGATTGCACCGCTACGGGACTTCATCAAAGACAACGGTGAGACCACATACCATAATATTGTCCAAAGTACAAGCCGCACTTTGAACACTCAAAATTCAACCAAACATAGAGGGGCGCGGATTATACTCCGATGATCGAATTAACGGTAGTAAATAGGGTAGATGTCTGTATTTTGTGGCAAAAAGGGGGGGGGGGGATATGCGGTTCATACTCCCGTGCGGCTTATACTCCAGTGCAGCATATAATCGGTTGTGGCGACAAACGCGACTAGGCCGGCTGCAGGGACACCGTAATCTCGCACCACCCGCCCTAGCACCATTCAAACATTTTCCTTTGGCAGTTCACGGTACGAACTTCAACAAAGCCTTGTGTCATGCGTACCAGGGGAAGGCTAGACAGAATGTCCTAGACATCAATAGACGCCAATAGACGTCAATAGGCATCGTATGAAAAGCCAGTCAATAGCACTAAGAGCGAAAGCCTTTTTCAAAGGTCGGTTTCACTCCCGCGTTGGGCCCGAGCTGGCAGAACAAACGAACGCCGGGCGCGAGCTGGCAGCACAAACAAACGCCGTACTCACACGATTAACGTTGGGTCAACGGATGACCACAGCCATCAAAAACAGGAACAAACCCATCCACGGCTTCTTTCTCTTGCTAGCTGTGCTGCTGCGTGCATCCAACTGTTTTGCAATTTCTCCCTCCCACCCACGCCTCCTGAAATTTATTATCACTCTACACTATCCTATGTCTCACAATGAGTGCCACTCAGCATGATGGTACTCCAAGCTACATGACAAATTGTATTTGCATGATTTGATCTGTCCTTGCTCGCTATTCTTGACAAGAATTCAATTGCAATGAAGCGCCGGTGGCTGGCGGGGGCATTCGGCGGCTTGGTCTGATTCCTAGCTTGTTGGTAAGGTTCCTGTGACAACATGCAGTCATGCGCAGGGCCACCCAACATGCAGTTGGGGGCCCAGGAGAGACAGAAACGCGTTGCTAGGCAACAGCAAAAGCGCTCGGCGAGTGTCACGCTACTCATGCAGCGCGCATGTTGGCGTAGGGTATCACGCTACTCTTGTGCTGCTCGGCGGGGCACCACATTGCCCCTCGCTGGAATCGGACCCGCGCCCCGGATACCTTGCGCTGGCCTCCTGACGGCCAAACTCAACCAACTTGTGCGCTGTGACTGGGGTTGTGCATGTATTAGCAACATAATGTGGCCCAGGTCGGCAGACTTTCAATCAGCCAGGTGAACCACTCAGGCCAGGGTGCATGATCACTATTCGCAGCACTTATCGTCCATGCAGCAGTCGGGTTAAACTCCTGTGCTGCTTATGCTCTTGTGCACCCTATTCTCCTGTGCTGCGTACTCTCCTGGGTTGCGTATACTCCTGTGCTGTGTGCCGCGACTCCGAAAAATAAGTTAGGTGAGACGTACGGTTCTGGTAGGTGAAGTTCAACCCAGAGTGCTGGTGGTGGTACTGGGGGAGCTCTGGACACGGTTTGGTATGGACAATTTGAAAAGGGGACTCAGATGGAGAGCCAAGGGAATATTTGTAGAAAAGAAAAAGGACCAATGAACTACAATGAGCTGATTGTCAAGTAACTGGTGGTGTTAGTGGACATTAGAGCGTAACTTGTAGTTCCTTGGGCCTTTTTTCTATAAATTTGAAAAGTGTACATCATTACACAGTCTACTTTAACCTACACACACTCTCACACTGATAGAGCGGTTTCACATCTATCATCTGTACGTGCACAACAGCCATGCTGCTTCCCACTCTAGTCAACCCCTCTGCATCTATGCTGTTCTTCTCACACTGCACATTACAGGCATTGACCCAGTTTGTCTGGTCACACATATGGACAACATGCGCTGGACAGAGGAGCGTGCCAATCAGACACAAAAGCAAGCGCGCAAGCTTCTCGAACTGAAGGAGGAGAACATCTTCACGGTGACCAACTACACAGAAGTGACGTTTCATGAGCCAAGCAGCGTACAACAGGACCTGGCCATTCTCAAGCCATTGAAAGCAGCCATCAAGGAGGCTGGCAGCCGCTACTGGCAACTTGTAGCGCAAGGAGAGCACCAGTCCGATGCAAAGGTTCAAGCGGAATCTTTCCCGGAAGACGTGGCAAGAGGTCAGTTCTCCAGTATAGTCATTCCTGTTTCTTTTTTCTCCCAAATAGCTACAGCAGGTAAACATGCTGGGAAGCATACCAGAATGATGATGGGTGATGAGTTGAATTTGACCTATGTGGGCAAACATGTGTGGGGTCAGGCTACCATTGTGACGCACATAAAGGCCCATGCGCTTATGAGTGAGTTTTTGCGTTTTTTGCGGGTCCTTTTGTCTCACACATAGGCGCATGCACTGGAGTTTCTAGTGTACCGATACCTTGTATAATTAATTGTGCAAATATTGCGATAACGCGCTGCACATTAAACTATGTGAACATGGTGTCATCGTGGTGTCCGTGTGTCGCGGGATGGAATTGCATTTAGGTTCACTTATGAGCCCACGCGCTTATTTGTGAGTGTGCGCTCATACCCAGATATAGGCATATGCGTTTTATTAAATGCGCGTCACTGCGGTAAAGATGATGTTTTGGTATTGATTGGTGGTTTTTTCGTGGGGGGGGTCTACATGGTGTGTGTGTGTGTGTTTGTGTCCCATATGGTGCAGTGGTATGTGCAGTGATTTCCAATCGATAGGTTACGGGTTCGATTCCCGACGATTATGGTCACACACGTCTTTCTCCTCTTTCTCATTCTCCTGGGTGGTTACTAACAGCCAGTGTATGCCGGAGTATGTGGTGTGGTGTGCGTGTGTAAAAAAAATGAAAAATGAAAAATAGGGATTCACTGGCCAGAAAAAGCCACTTCAATCAGCTGTGTGGTGGATACCAGGCTAGAAAATAGTGGTGGTCAATTTATCAGCCTTGCAAGCTGTTGAATGGTGTAATCCTAGCACAAGTTGCTATGTCTAACATACCGTATTTTCCGGGGTATAAGCCGCACCGGGGTCTAAGCCGCACCCCCCTTTTTGAGGCAAAATATTGACTAAAAGTTGGTATTCGGAGTATAAGCCGCACCCACAAACCAAGATTTTTCACACTCATTGAAAAATGGCCTTTCTACAAATTTATTATAGTTATGGAGCTAAATACCATGTTAGATCAGATTATGAAGTGTTAGTGCACCACAGGTTGCTGCAGAGATGTTGGTGTATTGCTGTGTTGACTACAGATCACTCCATGTCATCTGCACTATCTTCAGTCTCGCTGCCACTGATGCACTAAAACTAGTAAAAGTGCGGGGATAGCAACACAGGCGCGAAGCTGAGTCGAATGAAATGTCACATGACGTCAGCATGCATACTGATGTATGCTAAGCATGCATTCGCGCAAGCACATTAGGTGTATAAGCCGCAGGGGCGATTTTGGTCCGATTTTTAGCGAAAAAAAGTGCGGCTTATACTCCGGAAAATACGGTAGCTGTTCGCTATCATCGCTTCCGCGATGGGCATGTTTGAGGTCTGAGGTGTGTGTGTGTGTGTGTGTGTGTGTGTGTGTGTCTGTGTGTCTGTGCTCATGAGCGTGTTTGAGTGTGTGTGTCTGTGTGTGTGCATGTGTTTGTGTGTGGGTGTGTGTGTGTGTGTTTCCAAGATTCCTTTTGAGTCTCTCTCCCCTCTCCCGGGGAGACCCATGTGACCAGTTTTGGCTGTGAGCAACAAGTACAAGTGTGTGTGTGTGTCTCTGCACGTGTGCACATAGTCGTGCAGGTGTTCATATCATAGTTTGGTACGAATATGCTTGCTGTAAACAGCTAATTTTAGCGCCGGTGATATTTTAGCGAAAGGAGTGTTTCGCTAAAGTTTTGCAGCGCAAATCAAATATTGCGTGCACAGTTCAGTATTAGTCATCTTTTTTTTACTGTGAAATTCCGATCGCTAAAATATTTCATCGCGAATCGGTCCAGATTCAGAAAACGCTGATGTGTTTAGCCACTACAATTATTCGTTCTACAGTAATTTGTATGTGCTTGTGCATGTGTTCACATTGCCACTCCAGGTCGTGTGGGTGGTGATGTGCCCGTATCCAGCTTGTTCAGAACACTACAACCCAAGTACCAGTGGCAGCCAGCCATGGTGCGCGATGCAATCAACAAGCTAGAGGAACAAGATATCGTTACCGCTAGTTTACTCCGCGAGTACTGGCAGAAGGAACCGTTCAAACGCGCGTCCATACCGGAAGGCTACCACCGACCTCTCCAGGAGCTGCTCGGTATAAGTTGAGGCGTATCGATGGTGCTGGTGCCGGTGTGTATATGTGTGTGTGTGTGGGGGGGGGGGGGTTGCAACCGGCTGTGTGTGTTTGTGTGTGTGTGTGTGTGTGTTTGTATGTGTGTTTGTTTGTTTGTTCCAAAGATGCGTACATGTATGTGTTGTACATACACCACTATGGGTGTGCACATGTTTAGTGTGTATGTTGACAAAACCACAGAATGTGGGGTGGTATTTGCCAATTTGATTCTTCCCTTATATTCTAGCCAGATGTGCTAGTTCTGTGTTTGATTTTTCAGATTATGGACTATTGTGATAATATATGAGGGACTCATGCCAAGTACTGTAGACAGCAAGCTGTTTCGGCCATATAGGCCTCATATTATATGAGTGACTCGTACATTCTCTATGCAACCCCACCTACGAGGGACTCATGCATTCTGGACCCAACCCCGCCTGCGTATATTTCACTTGACAAAGATATACTCTATTTTCGAAGATATTTGAGGCGGCTTACTAGCCTAGTACGCCTGGTGGCACCATTGTGATTCACCATCTCCTGTCCCTCCCATGGTTCTCCGTCTTGACCATTACTTTTCTTCTTTAATTATTTTGTTCACCATGGCTGATTTTCTTTCCATGCTATGAGGTGTTGTCGATAATAAAAATTGTTCATCTGCTGTTAACGTTATCCTGTATACCTGTGTGCTTCTTTGTTTGGTTGTTACCATGGTAACCCTTGGCACCAGTGTATAGGTTAGCTCACACTCTAAGACACGCAAGGTGCCATCGCAGCTGTATGCATTCGTACTATGCGCAATGTTCGGGGTACTGTAAGTCAGCCAATATTCGGCGCATGTTAAAATTTCAATTCCGGTAGCTATGCAAAAGACATTACTTCAGTAACGTCTGGCGCTAGCCAGGGTCCACACAGCTTTAATTCCGTGTTTGTTTATTTGTTTGTGGCATCGGCATGCCTGGCGCTATCCCGTACCTGTCCCGTACCGTACCATCAATTACAGCATCGGCGCCGACATGCCTGCGTTATCCCGCACCTGTCCCGTACCGTACCATCAAAGACAGCTAGCTGGCCACAATATTCGAATAGGGCTTTCAAATACAAGATCATGGCGTGAAGCAACTTGGAAGAATGAGTATGTATGCGAAGTGTATCGGGTGAATGCATGCAGGGCGATAGTGCGGGTTCGAATCCTAGGCTGTCTTAAAATAAATTGGAGAAATGAAAAAATTATAACATCCCTATGCTTTTTTCGCCTACGTCATCAAGGTGGTAGACGGTGTCGTAATACCCTCGAATACAAAGAGAAAGTTGACTCTCCCTAGGCAAAAAAGCATAGCGGGCCCTGAGCTTCCAAGCTCTCTCGTTTCAACAATTTTGGCTAGATGCTTCGAGGATTGATAATAATTATTATTAGTTGCAGCTGAAATCTCAATTTGCATGATACACAGTATGAAAGGAGATTCAGGCAGGAGCTTTACAGGTTAAATAAAAAATTTAAAATGGTTATCTCTGGCCGAAAAGGATTATGGCCAACAGCGGCTGAAATTGAAATGCGTGGAAAATTTGTAAACTTTAATGGTTAGGACTCTACAGCGGTCTACCCGCGGTGGTTTTCTCGCCGTTGTAGGGGCTTATATGCCTGCCAACTATCTCGATTTGGCTGCATGGGACCATCCCGATATCGAGGGTGGTAGTATGCAACCAAACTCGTTCATTTGTCGCCTGCCTCACGGCTACATTTGTACATATTCTCATACCTAGGTACTAGCATGTCATTGTCCCAATCTCAGGTTTGGACAGATTGGCAGGTTTGAGTTTGAAAGCATGGCCTCAAGCCTCAGCTAGCCAACAACTCCGCAGCAAGGAATCAGCGTCACTGCACTATAGTGCGTTTAAACAGTGCAGAGTCTAGACTTATTCGAATAATTCAAATACGGTTCGAGCTTTTTTGAGAAATTTCTTCAGAATATTGCTTTGGCAGCTCCCCCAATTTTCTCATATAAACCATTGCAATATCACCGGTAGTCAAGCTAACTCAAGGTTTTGTTGTGGTGACAGCATGTCCATTTGGCGGTGCGCCATTCCTCGTATCAGGCACAGCTAGTACCGTATCAGCTTCAGCTGCAGCATAGTGCTGACTGTGCTCCGAAGAACCTGGCGAGGAAATTGTCACGGGCTTCTTACCGGACGGAGAATGCGGTACGGCAGTCGTAGATTGGCTGGAGGATAATGATTGTCCACGCAATGATACGAGTCTAGCTTGGTCCGTATTGTCGAACCCGAAATGATTCCAGTAGACGCGTGGAGTGCACATTACGATGGCCGTACACAGGTTGATACTGTGGCCAATCAAAACAAGTCCAACGATTCGAAACGAGACATCCGAGCTGAATACTACCGGTGAGACGCCAATGAAGATGAGGAAAATTATCAGCGACGTGGTCAAGATCAGGCGAGAGTCGTTGAACTCGTGCGGTAAGTTGCGCGTGCGGAACGACACGATGAAAATGGCGGCGAAGAACACGGCGCAAATAGCGAGACGTACAATGTCCGGGACCAGGCGCCCAGTGCATATGTATGTGGCAGTGCGGTCGGTGCGCTGGACTAGTTCAAACGTGGACGGGGATAAAACAATGGCCACGGAGACAATTCCAGTCAGGACAATAGTGAGTATGATTACTGTCAGAATTTGGCCGACGGGTGAGAGAAGTTTGCCGCGTAGCTGAGAGGACTTGATGACGCTTGTTGATCTGAACAACTTTCGGATGAGATTCGTTTTGAGAAAGAACGTGACGAGCATACATGTGATGGGTAGAAAGTACAACTGTCTCTGCAGAGCACACTGGTTCACTGAGTCCTGTCGCATGTACAGCGTGATCGGCAGGATGACATCACTGGCGAGCACGGACAGCATTATGATCATCATGTGTACATAACTAGCTGCGCGTATCACAGGCGCACGGCGATGCCGCGTGTAATACGCCATCAGAAACACGACGTGTACACCGTTCACAGCGGACATGGAGACGATAACCCACGTCCATCCGTTCGACCATGGCTGCCGTACGATCGGAGGATCTTGGCACCGAGTCCGCTGGCTATCAGCAAACTTACCGCTCTCACAGGGAAAACAAGCTTCGGAGTTTGTCTCGTTGCTGATATGATCTTCAGCACATACATCACATGTCCAGCAGCAGAACTGAAGTGGGTCGGTGGGAATTCGCCGCAGGGTTCCGGGCGGGCAAGGCGGACTGCATACAGATTCCGGAAGGAATCGTGACGTCCCCTCTTGATACGAGGAATTGGACCTTCTCACCGTCATATCCACGCAACTTCCGAGGCCAAAGTCAACGCACATTGATTCGTTCCAGGTCAGTCTGGTGAAGTGAGTGCTGCCCTCTTCACCGTCCCACACTGCAACACTCCGGAATCGTCGTCGACCACCGTTGCCGCTCAAGAGCTGAAGGGAGTAGGCCGGGTACACGCTCTGCGTCTTCGTGAATACCTTGCACGTACGATTCAGCTCTCCCCGGCGGGGTCGGCATGGGCCTGTCATCTCGCGCATGCGCCGCAAGTAGACATCCGGACTGACTTTGGTTTGAGTGAGGAAGCAATCTCCCTGCCAGCACGTCGGCTCCTCTGCAGACACAGGGCTAAGCAATCTAAAGAAGAGTTCGGTGATGGATACCATGTGACGACCGAATGAGATTGGTAGCTCTGGAAACTGCGCCATAATATCCAGTGTACATGGTCTCTTGTTCGCTGGCCGCTGTGAGGCAAAACAGGTTGGTTCCAGCATAGAAGCTGGCAGGCTACAATCACCCTCGTCCTCAATGTAAAACCGGACAAACGGATTGTGAGCGAACTCCAGGATTCGCTCGGGAGTTTGCAACAAGTACTCAAAATCATTAATCAGCGGCGCAAAGCCAGGGAATGTTACAGCTGGATTGTTCAAGTACCCCATAATGCTTGTATTGTGAAGTGATGATCCGGGAGGGAATTGATTCAGGTCCACACGGTTAACCCAGTCCTCACTTCCGATGAGGAACCGTCCACGTATGCCCTTTTCGTTATACGCATGCAAGAAGATCTCGCCCTGCGCCGCTGTGGCAAACAGGACGACTGCCCTTGCCTCGGGCGTTTCCGCAAGCTGCCTCAAGCTTGCGGCAATGGACAGGGCGCTGCTGGCTGAGAATCGCGAGCGCACACCAAAGCAGAATGTCTTCCTGCGTGCTGCTTCCTCCAGCAGTAGAGTATAGCCTTGTCCACTGTATATATCATCGTCCCCCGCAACCAAAGCAAGGTAAGTCAATCCTAGCTCCTCGATCAAATCTGCCAGGGCCAGTACTTGATTGTCGTCAGACGGCACGAGGCGGAAGAACGCCGGGTACTCGTTGACGTCGTTGAAGATCGGACTGCTCGCCCAGGCGCTGAAGTGCAGGATGTCGAACGCGGAGAGCGTCGGCGAGATGCCAAGGCACTCTCGACTGGATGCCGGGACGATCATGTATGAGCTTGCAGGCTGATTGGGGTTGATCTCGTTGTCAGCGATGCCGGGGGTAACACGCTTGCCGGAATGGAGAAATCGGGACAACGAGCCAAGTGTCCTATTGCGCTCCGCATGCATCGGGTCAGACGCTATCGCCAGCAGATCGCGGAATATTGTGCAGTCATTGCGCACCACTTCCGGCGGTGGACACTGCATGACAGTGCGCTGCAGGGACGTCAGGTTGATGTGGAGATCGGCGATCGGAATGTTTCGCACCGCAAGCTGCTGCTGAAGTGCAGGTATGTCACGGTAGCGCAGCGACAGTACCGACTGAACTTGTGCTGCTGACAAGAGATTGGAAGAGCACGAGTCACGTATGAAGACGACAAACCTGTCTGTTAGGAACTGTGGCAACCGGCCCTAAACACCAGCACACACACACGTGCACGCGCACACGCACACACACACACACACACACACACACACACACACACACACATACAAACACATACACACATTATTAGGGGTGAAACAATTATACCGAGTACTCGAGTACTCGCTCGGTTTTTTCAAAAATAATCGTACTCGGAATAAATCAGAGTACTCGTTCATACATGGTACATGCATTTACTACAGAAATCTACAGTTTCAGGGCAGCAGTCGGCAGATGATGATGTGCAGACTGTGTGGTGAACATTTGTTCACGAGTAGAGAGAGCCCAAATGACCCACCAACCAATATACCCGAGAAAAATGACTGCTACTCGGTTCAATCAGGGTTGTATCATGTTATTTTAAAGCCCTTGGTGTGCAATTTTTAGGAGATGAAAAATACTCGAATATTCGATCGGAGAAAATCAGAGTACTCGAACTCGGGATCTCAGTGCCAACTTTCACCCCTACACATTATGCATACACACAAATAGCCACACATGCACACATTCACCCACACACCCACACAGAAACAACTTATTTCTACCCTCCCCCCCCCCCCCCCCCCCCAGAACGTAAAATATGTTGACATATACATGCATGTAGAACAGAAGTTGCAAGTGTGTAACTGTTCCTACTTCCATGTACATGTATCAAAGTTTTCTGAAGTGAAAACGGTCAACCTCTCCCACCCCATAACGCAATTTTTTATTATTTTCGTTTTGTGAAAAAACGTTGCATATTACTTGAGTAGTTGTATGGGTGTACTCAAGGAAACCGTTGGAAGTGTAGAGGTTCTGCGATTACATCATCAGTGGAGATGCTCTGGCAACTGAGTCGCAGCACAGCGCTGCACTTGCACTAGTGACTCACACTGCGTACAGCATACATAGTGCCCATAAGGGATTCCGCAGACTCGCGTTGTATACTTAGCGGCCATAAGCGGTTCCGCTGAACCGCCCGCCATGAAATCATTTGCACAGCCTCTCTAGAGGTAAATGAAGTAATGCTTAGCAAAGTTGCTTACCGCTTGAGTTGCCACTGTGCGGAGCCCGATTCCATACAACAAGCTAATGGCCTGCTGGAAGGCCTCCCAGCCAAGGAATTCCGAGCAGGAGTTGTTGAGAGTGGAATAGCTACAATAGACATACACACGTTGCACTTCTCAGCACAAAAAAAATAGGCTCGTCTTTCTTTTCCAGGAATTCAACAACTCAACCTTGTGTGACGGGGTCTCGAAAACACGATTTTCAGTACTCAGGAGGGGCCTGTTTCCGTTGCTGAAAGTGTGCGCGGTCGGCCCCAAAGCGCAACGGTGGTGGAGTCAAGGTATTTACGCAGAATTTTCAACGCCCAATACCAGTATTGCTGATAATTTAAAATTCAACTCCACAACACAATGACTGTACTCTGAGGTACAGTGGAGATTGGATATAACAACCTTGGCTATAACGACAAATCGAGATTAGCGACAAATTTTTCTGTTGCCCAAGTCGCTTAACAAGTCATTTCTGTGCAATTATAGATCGGGTATAACGACCTCGAAAATAACGACAGATTGAATTTACTGACAACTTTTGGTGCCCGAAGACCGGAAAATGCATAGAACATAACCACTTTCCTCTCGTACCAGGTGAAGTGGCATGCATGGACCTTTCTATTCTGTGTCATCCGCCCGGACCTCCGGGTCACTAAACGCGTGCTGGTCATTGCAGCTGCAGTGCAACGGTGTAGTTGCTATGCATGACTTTTGGTTTGAACTATGCATGCAAGACACATGCACATCTGAAATCCATATGCATTATAATTATAATGCATATGGATTTCAGATGTGCATGTATAGTCAGATCTCGTTTAACCGCACACATCTGTTTTCCACAAAAATATCCGGATAGGCGAGGGAACCGGATAACTGAACACACATGCTGTATATGCACGTGGTATGTCAAAAGCAGTGGCATCGTACATACATGTACATGTAGACGGGTCCTATTTTTTTTTTGTATTGTATTTTATTATTTTACTTGGGCATTCCCAACAGACCCTAAGGTCTTCTTACAGGGTGCCCAAGATGAATGAAATGTCCTATGCAGTACAACTAGCGTGCACAGTATGTAAAACAAGCGAGAAAAATGACAAGTGCATGCAACTGAGTGCTGTCCACATGCACCCAGCAGGTCAAGTACCTCATTTGCCTGTACAACTCCCTGATTCTAGCTCCTGCAAGCCTCATGCAACTGGATACGACGAAGCTTTTTGTACACATTTTAACCAGTCTGTACACAAAATCATGCACCGGTATGCGGATCGCGAGGTCTGGTTATGTTGTATGCATAACATATGCTGCACATCGGTAACCAGCGATTTTCTTCCGGATGGCGAGGGATCCGGATAAACGAGGACCGGATAAGCGAGGTCTGACTGTATCTGCAATTTACATTTCTGTCATTTTGATTATAATATTTGTATACTAATCTACTCAATCTGCGGACAGCATGCTGTTTCGTTCTTTGTGAACTCATCAGCGCAGCACAGAGGAAATGAGGCCGAACCTGATAGCAATGAAAATAAAAATTTCCAATCAGGCCCGAACGTACCTTGCCAGAGATGGCAGAGTGCTCAAACTGACAAGTCAGTGAGCTCTGCGTATTGCAAACAGCAAAGGCACTACCCCACATGAGAGTGCTCAACTACTACAATATACGAATGTATACTAATCTAAATGTGAAGATCGGGTTTAGTGACAGATCCAATAATTATACTTATCATAGCAACATTTCGTTTTCTCCCAAAGGATTGCCGATAAATCCAATCTCCACTGTACATGACATTGCACTAGCTGTGTATAAAGTGACATGAAGTAACAGGTCGAGTGAGTTGATTGTCCTGTCCTGTCATTACGATCATGTACTTGTGCCTACCTTCCATGCATCGGAAGTATGCTGCCGGAGAAATCCGTCCACGTGGAGTTGGGAAGCTCCGTGACGGAGCATATTGAGGGGAATGCCTCTCCCGTCACGGCTGGATGACGATCGGCAGATGCTTGTCCATGACACCCAGGCCACAGCGGCCTAATCAGACAACATGCGACGACGCAAGCCGCGACGCAGGGCTCGATGCACGAAATAAATCCACGCTGCACCATTGCTGTCGGAGTCGGCTCAATACATGTATATTACGACATAGCGGCAAAGCAAATGTTCTGATTTAGTAATGTGCAGTCGGGACGGTAGTTCACATCCGGCACCAGTGCAAAACTACCAACGCCTCCAACACATACGCAGGTAAATCATTCTACCGACTTCAGCCTTTGTTCAGGACAAGGTGCCTGTACGTCTTCCGACATCTCTGTAGCCTGGCGTAGGACCGATGGAACTGTTTCTTTCCCTCATGAGTCATAGACTCTGCAACCAGGCATCGACAGTACAATGCCAATGGGCAATGGTACAGGGTGACACTACAGAAATCGTCACTAGTAGTGACTAGTACAGTAGTAGTATGTAACTAACGATGTCAGGTGTACATGTACTAGTACACGTATACCACTGTATACATAGGGTACTACTATCGCTGATAATGCACTTTTCGCTCACTTGTCTTTCATGTCTCGCGAAGCAAAAATAATGGTACAGCACTGTTCACACCTGAGTACGAGCCCGGGTCGCGCATGAGTAGATCTACGAATGTTTTGATTGCATTTTATGACATGCATACACCCAGTGCCATGGCGCCAGTGGCAGTGCTAGTGGGCAAAGCCAAACCAAACACATTCGCACCAAGAAAAAGAAGAGAAAAAGCTGACAAGACTAACGCGTCATTGTAGATCTACCATGAAGGTTTGTACTCTTGATTGTACTCGCCAAGCAAATAATTACTTCGCTCGTAGTAATACCCACATCATGCACATGTCATGAGGTGATGCAGAGTGATCACATAAGTAGTTGCTTCTAGAAGCCACCTCACTTTCGACTCCCATCTCGAGCCGGCGGTAGAGTTTGGTTGGCGAATGGTTAAGGTGGCTCCTACCCCTCGGGTCCAAATTTTTTTCGTTTGAAACGTGGCTACAAACGATTGTACTTTGTTCCGTAGGATATCTAGTGTACGGAGACAAAATTTTATCAAGTTCTACCGGCCGGTTTCACTCGGGGGAGGGGCCAAACATAGCATACTCACAATTGCCAATTTAGGCCAAAAAACACCGGAAAACCACTTTTTTGGCCGTAGCACTCGTAGTTACCCCTTTTTTCTTGATGTCCAACATCAGGTCAGTAGTATACTTGCTAAATACCAGCATAAGCTTTAGAAGTGGGTAGAATTCTGCTAGAAGGTGACCTTTTTCTCTTTTCGGAATCATCCCATTTCAGCGCACACGTCCCACATATTAGCCCCGCCCACAAGTATTTGACACTGGACTTGCCCTGTATTCGATGGTTATGCTATCATAACCTAATAATGGTACTGTGTAGCAAGTTTGAGCAGGTTCTACCGAAGGTAACTTTTGAAATAAAACTTTAAAGTGTCAAGTGATGCCATATTTTCAAGAATCAGCACATTGCACTGGGACATTGTCCAACGCCTTAGAACCCCTGACTCCACCGTATGACAGATACGTATCTTGCAATAATTGATTGCAACATCTTCCGAACATAGTAGTAGAGCTTTGGATCAAGTTTTAGCAGTTTCCACCGAAGCTAACTACCAAAATAAAACTTTGAAGTCGCCCACATACTAAATGCAATAGCTGAGCACGTGCATTGAGTGTATGGTCTAAAGGTTTTCACAACTAGCTCCAATGCGGCAGATACGTGTCTTACATTACTTGATTGCAACATCTTCAGAACATAGTAGTAGAGCTTTGGATCAAGTTTAGACAGTTTCTACCGAAGCTAACTACCAAAATAGAACTTTGAAGTCGCCCACATACTAAATGCCATACATGTAGCTGAGCATGTGTATTGAGTGTACATGTATGCTCTAGTGTTTTTCACAACTTTCTCCAACATGAAGCCAATACTGATGTGGAATTTTTTGACTGCTTTGTCCAAAACACAGTGCTGAAGCAATGCACATTGGGCACTTTCTACTGGTAATGCAATTATTATTATACAGTGTTTGCTGCCAACATAGCAAGCAATACTGCTATACTAAATGCGTATTCCATTGGGTACGGTCCAATGGCTTTTCACTTCGCATCTAGCCACTGTTCTTCGTGCATTACTTGAATGCTTAGTCTCCATGGTAATGAAGCTAAGAGCCACACTGGAGAAGTTTCTACTGAAGCTAACTACCAAAAATATAAAATTTCCAAGATGCTACTATTACATAAAGTAGCTGTGTGCAATGCCACTCTGTTGAACACAGTAAGCAAAATTGAGTCACTAAAACCCTATTTGCCAGATATAAGCTGTTGAGACTGATAGCAGCTGAGCTGTATGATCTGATATGGATGGCGGTTCCACACTGACCAGCACATGTACACGTGCACAGGCAGAAGAACATACAAGTAATACACCTAACGTTACTTCGAAGTCCATCATGTAAATACATGTACAAGCGTATATACAAGCATCACTCCTGTTCTCCACAACCTGCAGTCCTGGGCCACTCCAGCTGGTCAGAGTGCAATAATTTCTGCAGCAGGCTTGACTTGGAAAGCTAATCACAACTGCCATGGCTGCAACATGAGTATTACCAGCGCTTTTACAGCGCTACTTGTATTATATTATTGTCAATCCATTGTGGTGCATGGCACTCGTTTTCAACAACCGAGTTTATGTCATTAGGGGTCGTCCGCAATTATCGAAAGTTTTTTCCAATCCGTAGTAGCTTCGAAAGTGGGTGGGTGGGTCAAGGCCAGTTACGGATTGAAAAACTTCCGAAATGACACGTGCGCGTGCCACGTGTACATGTACGTCTACGTGTAGCCCCTGTTTTCCACGCGCGGCTGCGCCCGAACTGTCTACTACAAATATTTGTGTAGTTCTGGCAGTTTCTGCGCCCCCGCGCGCGCTTCCTTGGCTGCTCCTGGGCCGGGGATCATAAAGTTCGGCGCATTCGACGGCGAGTCGACCCTTCTATTTTTGAGTTTCACTGTCTCCTTCGTCCAGAGTACCGTCTTCCATGCACTCCTTTGGAGTCCTTCCGTCTAGCGCTGGCGCTGACGACTGTTATTGACTATGTCCAGACAGGCGACGTTGTTTGGAAAGGCGGTGAAGGAGCAGCCCTTTTTCAAAACCGCTGGTGACTCTGATTATTACAGAACAATAAATTGCTTGTGGCAGTTGTCCAAGACGACGAACAAGGATGTATTCTTTGCCGAAGCGAAAAAGGAATGGACGAGTATTGGGTTGTGTGTCCATCAATAATATTTTATTACGGACTGGGGGGGTGGGTGGGTGGGTGAGGAAAAATTTGAAGCTACTACGGATTGGAAAAAACCTTCGATAATTGCGGACGACCCCTTAGTTGCATATCCAACGCCAATAGAAAAAAGAAGGGGTGGGGCAAATTACCACGGTTCAACACTAGTCATATTGAACGGCGTTATGCCATGCCAGGCGCGCACACAAAACGCCCGCGTGAGTGCGCATGCATATACTCACCCGGGTAACACACATTCGTGCGACTCTACATAGCCTGCACTGTCGTTCTACATGTATGTCATAGGAGGGAGTGCACACACATATGTACATGTAGATTGCCTAATTTTGCATACGTAATAAAATTGTGTAAGTATACACACATGTGCGTGCACATATAGATAGACTCAGCGGCATACGCATGAGTGTGTGCCGATAGGGCCACATGCCAATTATCGGATTAGTCTGTGAAAGTTGCACGGCACGGCAAACTTTCGAACAGTCTAAAGATATGACACAATGAATGTGGAATACCCACCAGTGTGTAAGACCATTTCATACCTATTTCGCAGTGTTTGTGATTTTCGGAACGTCCCTGTTGATATTTGATGTCCTCACTTGGTTGATGACACAGTCACAAATTATCAAATTCACCTCCAATGCCATCCAGTCTGCGTTCCGCGATACATGTACAGTGAACGGTGTTGAGGAAAGCCATGCAGCAATAAAACAGTCGAGACTCCCAAGCAGAGGATACAATTCAACAGCGTATTGAAGTACGAATTGTTGTAAACAATTTTCAAGACACAATTACAAAATTTGAAGTGCGTCTTGAAACGTGTTTGAAGTGATTCGATGTATTTACCTTCGACCTCCCTGAATCGATCCATCCACAGCTACCCGACGAATTTACCAGTCAGTGCGGGAGATGATCGAGCAAGTTATATTTGAAGGTCGCGAAATGTCAGTGGCACTGGCAGGAAATCTACACAAGCGTATTCTGAAATAATTTTCTAAGACTCAGGCGTGATTCAAGAGCGGACTTTGATTTCTCCTTTCTTATAGTACGAGCACCAGTCGACATTGCATTCTTGGAAAATCTTCTGCGAGTGCTGCCTTCCCCTTTCATAGAAAGAACGAATGAAGAGGGACACTAGCAGCAGGTTCTAGCTAGGTCGCCAGAATTGCAGAAAAGCGAGAAGACGTTTCCTACAACTATTGATCGCACAAAAATCATCGCTACCGAAAAATTTACTGAAAATCTACACTTTTCAAACGATGCGCGCGCAGAGGGTGTGAGCCACCTTAAGCGGTTACGTAATCAAGTGGTGTGCTTCACTTTCGACATGTCCGAAGAGTGCTCAATACCCATGGGCCCTGTAGGGCAGAGCCTTGTGCACAAGTCACAAGGCAGGAGAGATTGGAAGCTTTGTCACAATTAGGCATACATGTATGCGGATAATGCCGGCAGAACAATTGGCAGAATTCGGTGCTTTTTCTGGTAAGTTTCATGCATGTTTGGTATGTGGATAAAGAAATGGAGCAGAATTCGAGGAATTGCCCGCCATAATAGGCCTTGACGGATTATGCTAATATTTTCGTGAAATTATGCTTTTCGCATTGCTGAAAAAATGGCAGAATTATGCTATTTTTATGCTAAAAGTTATCATATTATGCCCCATCATGCTCACATGTGCTGCTAATATTAATAATAATGCCTCTGTGCAAAATAACAGGGGAATTTTTTGTAGAGGGCGTTGTACTGTAGTAGCAAAAGTTCAACGGGGTCAACGCACCGTCCGACCTACATGTAGCTACGACCAGACGACCGGCGTCACTGATTGTAGCGGACTGGACATGTTATCAAGGGAGTCGTAAACCTTCGACTTCCTGGTGCATCTACTTGTACTTGTACTTGTACTTGTAGAACATGTACATGTACAACTCTATGGAATTTGATGCGAACGCGGATTATTCCAATTTATGCGATTCGTATGCAATTTGCCTCGAATTATGCGCTTATTCGATTTTGGTAGGAATTATGCGAAAAATTATGCTAGCATAATCCGTCAAGGCCTACGCCATAAGGTTTATATAGTTCTGCCAATTGCACT